GCCTGCCTACAGACTGCGAGCCCTGCTAGATCTCAGCCCCCCACAAATGCTCAAGGCATGGTGAGTGCACAGTGCACACCAAAGTCAGGAGGGGAAACAGAGGCAACTATAGACATGGTGGGGAGGGGAACAAAAAGAGAAAAAATGTATTTAAAAAAAATGTGAGGAGTCAAGATGTGGCTCAGCATATGCCTTACATGTGGGGGCCCTGGGGTTCCACCCTTCCCTGCACACGACCACCAGTAGTGGCACTACTGGGTGTGGTCCCAAACACACACACACACACACACACACACACACACACACACACACACACAGTGTCTCTCTGTCTCTCTCTTTTCCCCACCACCACCACTCCCAACCAAGACATACATGAGTTTTCCAGATAAAGAGACTATACCAGCTCCCTCAAATATATTTTTCATTTATTTGTGTTGAGGAGGGGGTCACATCCAGCAGTGCCTAAGGGGCTACTCCTGGCTTTGTGCTCTGGAGTGACCCTGAGTGAAGCTTGGGGGGTGGCATATGGTACTGACGATTCAAACCAGGGTCTTGCTGCTGTCACAAACTGCATGAGGGGGCTAAGTCATAGTACAGCGGATATGGCATTTGCCTTGCAGGTGGACGACCTGGGTTTGAGCCCCGGTTTCCCATATGCCCCCCACCCCCCCAGCCCCCAACATCAGGAGTAATTCCTAAGTGCAGAGCCAGGAGTAAGCTCTGAGCATCACCTGGTCTGGCCCAAAAAACAAACAAAAACAGCAACAGAGGAAGGAAGGAAGGAAGGAAGGAAGGAAGGAAGGAAGGGAGGGAGGGAGGGAGGGAGGGAGGGAGGGAGGGAGGGAGGGAGGGAGGGAGGGAGAGAGGGAGGGAGGGAGGGAGGGAAAGAAGGAAGGAGGGAGGGAGGAAGGGACACACTGACAGGAAGGTGTGTTGTTATAACGACATACCTCTGAGGAAAAAGAAGATTCTATAAACATTCTGAAAATAAAGTGGAACAAAAAACCTTTATCAAGGTATCAGAAGGGGGGTGTCAAAGCGACAGTGCAGGTAGTACAGTGGGTAAGACATTTGTCTTTCACATGGTCGACCCAGGTTCAATCCCCGTCATCCCATACTGTCCCCCAAGCACCGCCAGGAGTGATCCCTGAGCGAAGAGCCAGAAGGAACCCCGGAGCATCACCAGGTATGGCCCCCAAACCAAAAAAAGACATGTCAGAACAGGGCCGGGGGGTGGTTCAAAAGATTGTAGCAGCCTTAGGTTTGATCCCCAACACTACTTAGTCTCCGAAGAAATGCCGGGAGTGGTCCCTGAAATGCATAGTAAAAGATAAAAAAAAAGTCAGGCAACAATGAACACTTCTAACTTCCTAAAAAAAAAAAAACCCCACTTCTTAATGTACTGAGTCAAACTATTAATTACAGTAAACAGTTGCATACAATTGATACATGTATTCATATTTTTAGAGGGAGCTCTAAGTGGAGGTGCTGGGAGAGGGGCTACTCTCTGCTCTGTGCTCAGGGGTCCACTCCCGGCAGTGCTGGGGATCGAACCTGGGCTTCTTACATGCAAAGCAGGTGCTCAACCCATTTAGCTCCCTTCCCAGTTGGAATTTCTTACAAAATGCTAAAGGCTGTGTGTGTGTGTGTGTGTGTGTGTGTTTGTGTGTGTATCGAGGGGGGTAGCAGGGAGGCAGGAGAGAGGATTCTGGCTGTGAGAAGAGCAGGGATCTGTTTGCAGGGAGAAGGAGAGAGGGAGGGGACGGCTGTGACCAGTTGTGCCTGCCCTGGGGAGCAGGTCTGAAGAGAAGGCTGGCGAGAGAGATGACCTTGAAAAGCAAGCTAAGATCCTTCCATCTCCTGAGCAAAGTTGGACAGCTGAGGTAAAATGAGTGGTTGGGTATGGAGAGATCTAAAATACGGGGAAAACGAGGAAGACTAGCTCCAGGAAGACTAAGAAACTAGGTACCACGTGGAAAGCAATCAATGAACGACTCTACTACGAACAGTGCTCTGAGGTCAGACAGGTCACTGATCTATCCTGAGTCTCCAAACTTATGAGGTCTCTTTTCAGGAAAAAAGAAAAGACTCAGCCCCCTTACTCCCCCCATATCTATCTTTTTTTTGGGGGGGGGTGGTCATACATGGTGATGCACAGGGGTTACACCTGGCTCATGCCCTCAGGAATTACTCCTGGCGGTGCTCGGGGGACCATACAGGATGCTGGAAATCGAACCTGGGTCTGCCATGTGCAAGGCAAACGCCCTACCCGCTGTGGTATCACTCTAGCCCCAGTATCTATCTTCTTTAAACCAACAAAAAGCCCCTGCTTCAGTTAGCTGTGCCCAGAGCTAACATGCATCCCAGAGGATAGTTCCGGCATCACCCACTCTGGAAAACGCCGCCAGACCTACATTACACACAGTCAGCAGGGAACGTCAGTGAAGAATGGCCTTGGGGAAAGGGTGTTTGGACAACTCATGCCTCATCTTTCAGAGTTGGATGCCAATGGATAATGTCTACAATTGGTGGCAGAATTGCAGAAAAAGATTCAAAGATGTTATTTAGAATAAGAGGTTTGAACATGGGTAGTGGGTACTGGGTACTGCTGGGGATGGTTGGGAGTAAACTTTTATCTCTGCCTAGAACTCTTTAACTCTACAGAAACAGGTACACATAGAGCTCTGTCGAATATAAAAACTATAAAACCCCATCATGAAAGCTTTGTAACTGTGTATCTCATGGTATTCAATTAAAAAAAATAATGTAGTAAAAAGAATCATTTTTTAACATTTTTTCACCCCATCGCCCCCAATCCCCCAAAAAGTTTATTGAAATAAAAAAATATACATGTTCAAGGCAAGGATTAGGGTAGGAGATAGTACAAGGGTTAAGGTACTGGAGCAATAGCACAGTGGGTACGGCGTTTGCCTTGCATGAGGCCGACCTGGGTTCGATTCCCAGCATCCCATATGATCCCCAGAGCACCACCAGGAGTGGTTCCTGAGTGCACAGCCAGGAGTAAGCCCTGTGCATCACTGGGTATGACACAAAAAGGGGCGGGGGGGGGGGGGGAAGAGTTAAGGTGCTTGCTTTGCTCAGAGCCAACTCTGGTTCAATCCTGAACATCACTATGTCCCCTGAGTACCACTAGGGGTCACTCCTGAGCAGAAAAACCTGGAAAACTCCGGAGCACCACCCCACAGAACTGTGGCCCCCAACATGCCCACCCCCAATAAAACAGGATACATGTCCGTGTATGAACAGCAATTATTTCTAGTGATGGCACTGTGGGCTACTTACACTGTGTTCCTTCACTTTTCTAGATTTGGGGAAAATGAGGAACACAGAGGCCACCAACCATAAATGAAAAGAGCAGCTTTCCTTTCCAAACCCAGCAGCAGAAACGCCAGCACTGCTATCTGAGCTTCCGTTTGCTCTGCTGCTACAGGGGCGCCCGCCAGCTCCCTCACGCACAGAGCAAATATTTGTTGAATTCCTATAAGCCAAGCCCTGCAAGGTGATCCCAGTATCCCCAGCTTTTCCCTGGGCCCCCAGACATCCGTAATTCCAGCTGCGGGAACAGGGGTGGGGGATGGGCCAAGCTAAAGCGCCTCATCCTTTGTGTACCCTGGGATCCTCTGGGAGACCTTCTGAGGGTGTACAGAGTACAGCGGAACAGGAGGCCTGGCTCTGGGCTGCTGGAGGACTTCTCCGCCTCCACTCACTTCTCCATCCCCCAGCTCCCTGCCTCTGCCTCCTCTCCCAAAAGAGTTCAAAGTAAAACTTTGAGGGATGGGAGAAGGGGCCGGTTAATAGCCGGCAGGCCTGGATCTGAACTCCAGTACACACACGCGCCCGGCCACGAAGGGCTGAGTCACTTTCCCACCTCTGCCTTCGGGGTCTTCACAGGTAAAATGGGGGTCCTCCTGGAAGCCACCTTCACCATCTAGGAATGCTGTAGGGGTTAGCTGAGGGCAAAATGGCCTCTAAAGGTCTGGACAGGTCTCGGGAAGATGGATCAACAGTGGCTACCACTGGCTGTTCTCAAAGAGCAAGTTCTCCACAAAGGGCTGTGAGGAATTGGAGGGCCATAATCCAGCACTTGCCTTCAGGAGCCCTTCTTCTCCACCCAGAAATGATCACTGCCTATAACTGGAGGGGCACCCACCCATCCACCCACACACACGGGCCCTGGGGCTCCACTTGGCACACTTTTCCTGAGGCATCTCACCTCCGTGTCTAAGTTTTTATTGTTTTAGCCAACATGTTACAGGAGCGCTGACTTGGGCAGTTTTGCTGTACAAGAAGACTACACCTTACTTCACTGCAACTTGTAAGTCATCTCAAGTTTACTACCAAGGAGGCAATTAAGAAAAGGGGGCCCGGGAAGGAGCACAAAGAGCTGGCGGGCATGCTTTACCAGGCAGGAGGCCTGGGTTCAGTCCCCCTGCCAAAGGTAGACCTGGGGCACCCCCTCTCCCGCACCCCGAACCCCAAGCAAGATGAGGGGGAGGGGGATATCGCCTCCCCTTCCCCCAACCAGCCAAACCAAAAAAAGTAAACAAAAGTCCAGACAAACACAAAGAAAGACGACTCTCTTCTCCCATCTCCTCCCATCTCCGGAAGCTCTGCATGTGAGAAGAAAAGTCACAGGTGTCCCTGCCACCCACGAGCACAAACTCAGGAGGCTCCCGGGCTTCCTGCTCCCGGGCAATAAAGCCCTGACCACCAGCACGTTGGGTTTCTCAGGACGCAGAGAGCCGTGTCACCACCCTGCTCCAAGATAACCCGGGGTGGGGCTCGGGCCACGTAGGGACGGGGATTCTCTGAGTTTGTGCACTTTGGGAAGAACGCAGAGCTCGGTAAACAGGGGTCCTGCAAAACCCTGGCGGCGATCTGAGAAGGCCGCCTTGCAACGAGCCCGGGGCGTGCCCGGAGCCGGATCCCTCGGCGCCCCCCCACCACCACCACCACCGCGCCCCCCGCGGTCCACTCACGATCTCGGCCACGATGAGCAGCCCGGGCAAGGTGCGGAGGAACTCCCGGTCGTAGGCGAAGCTGCTGCTGCTGGTGGAGAAGTTCTCGGCGAAGGAGCTGGTGGTGGTGGTGACGGTGTGCGAGCGCGCGCGCTGCGTCTCCTCCATCGTCGCGCCTCGGCCGGGGGGCTCCGCGGCGCGTCCCCGGGCTGGACGCGCGGCCCTCCTGCGCCGGGATTGGGGGAGGTGAGGGGGGGGGGGCACCCGGGGGTGGGGGGGAGGGGAGCGCAGTGGCGCGGGGCGGGGGGGGGACCCGCTGCGGAGGGGAGTCGAGGGAGTGGGGGGGACCGTCCGGTCCAGCCGCCGCGCGAGTCCTGCGGGTGCGCGGCGCCCCCCCCCTCGCCTCTGCGCGCGGGCTCCGGGGCTGCGCGGGGGCCCCACCGCAGAGCGAGACCCAGCCGGGGGAGGGCGCGGGGCGGCCGGGGTAGGCGGTGGAGGCCGGCCGAGGGGCGGGGGCCGCGCGAGGGGCGGGCGCGGGGCGGGCGGGCGCGGGACCGCCCCTTCGAGCGAGCGCCGCGCGCCGGCTCCACCTGTAGCCCGGACCGCGCCGCCCCGAGGGTGCCTGGCTGCGCCGGGGGAGGGGGCGCGCCGGCCGGGAGCAGGGCGTGGGGGGGGGGGGGGGAGCCCAGGGAGGGGACCCGCGGGGCGTGGGAGCCACGGAGGGGGAGCGGGGCTCAGGGGGCCAAGGAAGGGGCGCGCGGGCCGGAGAAGGGGACGTGGGGGGCCAGGGAAGGGGACTTGGGGGCCGGGGGAGTTGTGCGGGAGCCGGAGAGGGGGACGTGGGGGACCAAGGACGAGCGCGGGGGCTCACTCCAGAGAGGGGGCGGGGAGGGGAACCAGGGAGGGGCGCGAGGGCCCAGTCCAGAGAGGGGGCCAGGGGGCCAGCGAAGTGCGAAGGGGCCGGACACCGGGACGTGTGGGGCCAGGGAGGGGCGCGGGGGCCCGGTCGGTTCGTGGGCCGGGGAGGGGGACGTGGGGGACCCGGGAGGCGCGCGGGCTAGAGAAAAGGACGTGGGGGACCAGCGAGGTGCGCAGGGGCGGGAAAGGGGGAACGTGGCGGGGGGGACCAGGGAGGGGCGCGGGATCCCGGGAGGCACAAGGGCCAGAGATGAGGGACCTGGGCGCCAGCTAGGTGCGCGAGGGCCGGAGAGGCAGACGTGGGGGGGGGGGGGGCAGAGAGGGGCGAGAGGTCCCGGGAGGCACGAGGGCCAGAGATGGGGGACCTGGGGCGCCAGCTAGGTGCGCGAGGGCCGGAGAGGCGGACGTGGGGGGGCCAGGGAGGGGCGCGGGGTCCCGGGAGGCGCCGCGGACCGGCTTCCTCCCCTTCGCGGGGCCCCGCGGGGAGGAGCCCTCGGGGCGGCGGCGCGGCGGGGAGCGCGAGCAGCTGGAATTGGGACCCGGCCGGACCTTAGACCCGCGATCGATACCGGGTCGCAGGCCGCAGCGTCGCCCTCCCGCCCCCTCCCGCGGGGCAGCGGCCACCAAAGTCCGGCCTCGCTTCCTGCCCCTCCTGTCGCGAACAATTTGAGGAACCGACCTAATCTCTGAACTTCTAGGGCGAGACGCCTCCGGCCGCGCACTGGGGACCCCCCGGCGCCGGGCCGAGAGATGGGGGCTGGGAGGGAAGGGATGCGGGAGGCTGCGAAGTCACCCCGGCAGGCACCCTTGGCAAGGAAGTATTAGGGAGTAGGGGAGTAGCACCCAAAGAAGGTTTGCGGGGCGGGAGCTGCGCAAGGTGAACCGCATCCACGCGTGCCGGCCGGAGGGGGTGGGGGTCGGGGGGTGGGCGGCTGCTGGCGGTCAGGTGAGCGCTGAGAGCCCACGTGGCCGCGGGCATGGCTGAGACGCAGGACTCTGAGCGGGCGCTGCAGCGTCCTAAAGATGCAGGGGGCAGGCTTGGGTAGGACCTCTGGCCCTAAAGCACCTGGGCCTGAGTGGGGGGCGATGGCGGGGGGGGGGGGGGGGAGGGCGTCTCTCAGGTGTGAAAAGATGACTAGAAACATGAGATTGTAGTTTATTCGGGAACCTCCCCCCCACACACACACCCAAGTTAGAGGTTATTTGCGGTCACAAAGGAGGGGTTGCTTGGGGGCTGGGGGGGAGGGTCCCAGCTAAAGCATCCTACATTTCTAGACCGGAGTAATAGTTCAAGGTAAAGAGTTTGCTTTGGGGAATCACAGCTAAAGCATCATGCATTTCTAGACACTTAGTAAAAGGTCAAGGGACATTTTATCTATAAAGCTGTATCAGCTGAGTAGAAAGTTAAAAAAAATTAAGGGCTGGGGAGAGAGCTTGACTTGGCTTGGTCCCCAACACCGCAGGGAGCGACCCCTTGAGAACACCACCGGGTGTGCCCTCCTCCCCAACCCCTCCTAAGAAAGGAGAGGAAGGAAGACCAAGACTAGCTTCAGGAAGTAAAAGTTAAATACTCAAAAGATAAGGATTTGGAGGAATTCCATCCTTGAGTAAGCCCTGAGCACCTCAGGCTCAGGGGTAAATACAACAGAAGTGAAAAGAGCTCACTTTCCCCTAAGAGCTGTGTGCTCTGGGATTGTAGGACCCAGACCAGCAGCCTCACCAGACCCTGGGAAACTAAAAAATGAGCGTTCTCAAGCCCGCCCCAGGCTCAGGAATCAGAAGCTGAGGGAGAACCGAGGAATGTCTTACCCCGAGTCCTCTCCAGAGCTCTGCTTTGAGCCAGTGAGGCTGGGGGAGGGAGGCAGACTGCGTTATGCTGGCTTTTAGGGAAGGCAGGAAGGAAGTCTAGAAACTCTATTTCTGTAATACAAAGGACAGCTCCTTCTCCCACAACTCTTTGGGGCCAGATAGACTTCAAACTTCAGATTTGGGGCTGGGAAGGGACCACAAAAGGCTGGAGAGTGTGCTTTGCATATGGGAAGCCTAGGTTCTACCTCCGTGCTTCCTACCCCACTCGGCATTGTGACTGATGTAGCCTCTGAGCATCAACAGGTGGGTCTCCAACTCCCTTCAAAAAAAAAAAACCCTTCATGGGGGCTGGAGTGATAGCACAGCGGGTAAGGCGTTTGCCCTGCACGCAGCCAACATGGCCAACACAGGTTCGATTCCCAGCATCCCATATGGTCCCCTGAGCACTGCCAGGAGCAATTCCTGAGTGCATGAGCCAGGAGTAACCCCTGAGCATCGCCGGGTGTGACCCCCCCCCCAAAAAAAACCCCTTCATAACTCTAAAGACTTCACAAAAAAATTTTTTTAGAAATAAGTCAGAAAATTGTCACAAAATCAACACACAAAACTCAGTTGTATTTCAATATGCAAAACCAGAAAAGAAGGAAATCAAGAAATCAATCCCATTAAAAATATTGTTCAAGGGCCAGGGGTATGACCCCATGGTATAGGTTTTGTACATCAAAACCATAATCACTATCACTGTCCTCCCGTTGTTCATTGATTTGCTCAAGCAGGCCCAGTAACGTATCCATTGTGACACTTGTTATTGTGTTTGGCATATCGAATACATCATGGGTAGCTTGCCAGGCTTTGCCGTGTGGGCGAGATACTCTCAGTAGCTTGCCGGGCTCTCTTAGAGGGGCAGAGGAATCGAACTCCAGTCAGCCATGTTGGATGCGTGCAAGGCAAACGTCCTACCCGCTGTGCTATCACTCCAACCCATCAAAACCATAATAATCAACATTATTGTAAGCATGAGATCCAACCTATAACAGTTTAAAAATGATTTTTCTTAGGAGGTGAGGTGAGGTTGGGGGTAGGAGGTAACTTTGGAGCATTGGTGGAGGGGCACTGATGGTGAGTTGGAATATTGTATGCCTGAAACTACTGTTAACAAGTTTTATAAATCATGGTGCTAAAATAAAATTTGAAAAAAAATTAATATAAATAAATTTTAATATAAAATAAAGGAACATAAAAAACCATGTTCTTAAAGGGAATGCCCTGCCACAGAAGTAGGCTGGGATGGGGGGATGGGGGTGGGAGAGTTACTGGGATCAGTGGTGGTGGAGAATGGGCACTGGTGGAGGGATGGTTATTTGATCATTGTATAACTGAAACCCAAGCACAAAAATTTATAAGTCTATTACTGTAACTCATGGTGTTTCACTACTAAAAATTTAAGGAAAAAAAATGTTCTTTATTTAAAAGGGTGAATTGGGGCTGGAGTGATAGCACAGTGGGTAGGGCGTTAGCCTTGCACGTGGCCAACCCTGGGTTTTGATTTCCAGCTTCCCATATGGTCCCCTGAGCACCACCAGGAGTAATTCCTGAGTGCAAAGCCAGGAGTAACCCGTGAGCATTGCTGGGTATGACCCAAAAAGCAAAAAAAAAAAAAAAAAAAAAGGAAGAAAGGTGAACTGTACTTATCCCTTATACCACATAATAGCCCCAGTGAAGTGGAGTCTAAAATGGCACTTGAGTCAAGTACTCATTTTCTGCAATAAAACTATACAAACAGCATGTGTGTGTGGGGGGGGGGGGGGAGGAGGGTTGGGTTATCTACTGCAATGTAACAAATGCTTCCCAAACATTCATGCTTGAAAAGAACAATCCTCTTATCAGGCTCAGGAATTTGGGCCGGGAGTGGCCAGCAGGTTCTTCAGCTCCTAAAAGGCTTTCCTCTCTGAGTGCTCAATCATTCACGCTCACACTGCCCTCTTGAAGTTTCAGTGTCCTCACAGCAGGCTGGCACCCACCTTCCAGGAAGGAACATTCCTGGAGGGGCTAAGGCTGCAGCTGCAGATCTCTTTGGCCTTGTCTGGAAAGCTATACAGCAGAATGGTCATTCATGGTCATTTGTTAGACGCGAAACACCAGCTTCTACACAGGGCTGACATCCGCTAAGCACACATAAAGTCTCTAAGGGGGGTGGGGGGGGGAGGGTATGGTGCCGCCAGCAGGTCAATTTTACCTGTGAGGCGAGTGCATCAGCAGCCTGATGGCACCTTCGGACTTCTAGATACCCCAAAATTGCTGCTGTGCCTTTGACCAGACCCCAAAAACTTGGGGCAAAGTTTACCAAGAAAGTAAACAGCCAAAAGTTAGGTATGTGGGAGACACACCCACAAACCACCTCCAGCTCAGCTATATAATTGGAGGCATGGCCTCTTTGGTTCCTGATTGAACTGCTTAATGGCCATGAT